GGCATCTGCTAATGTAAGAGGTGAAAGAGGCAATTTTTGCTGACTGCTCTTTCCCAGTTACCTTCCACCCTGTACTGGAGAGTCCCTCAACTCCCCAGAGGCATTTTTCTTTTGGGGTGCATGTGGGGAATGGCACGACTAATAAGCAAAGTTTGCCTGCCCTTCTCTCCTGTTAGCAGATGCTTCCATTGAATCAAAAGTCTCCTGTTAGTGTAAGAGCACTTCCTGTGTTCCACCCAATGACTACAAAGTTATTTGACTGATAAATAGTGAATATGTGAATTACAAATCACCTAGTGTGCTAAAACAGCCTGTATAAGATAAATAATGCAAACGCTGCTTGTAGTATTAATTCCCCAAAGAGAGTAAAGTTCAGTAACAATTCAGTAGGACTATGTGGGCTCTAAATGAAAGAGAATGGATGCCACATGCTCCTATCTGAAAAATACATCCACCTGATCTTAATTACACATCGCCCATTAAAAACATTATTCATGGAGAAGCTTGAGTCACTACAATGCTGATCAGCACCCTTTTTCCTTTTATTGTTCCCAGAAGCAACCGTGCTCCATCATTCTCTTAGCCCCTGCCATGTGCTTCTGTTTGAAAAAAACGGAACTTCCATCAAAGCAGGGTTTGTCTAATCAATGAACCTTGTCAAGAGCCGGGCAGGTTTATGTAGCAATCACAGGCTGGTCTTTTGGTACTTCTTGAAATGATAGGCTCTCTTGCCTGCAGACATTTCCCAAAGCTTTCCCAGCCTACAAACACAAATGTGACCAACCACTATAAAACAATGGCCTCTTGTCTGCTGGCCCCTCCCAGTGAATCGCTGGCAGATGGGAGCAATCAATTCTTTACCAATAAACGCTATCACTGCCTCAAACGCAACAGCTGTGAAGAAGCTTAACAGATGTAAGGGCTTTTTAAAATGGTAATTAAAGTGGTTAACCCTTATAGTCTAGGAAGATGCCACTGACTAGAACCAAAGGGGTCTCAGAGGAACTTTACGGACTCAAAAAGCTCAGTAATAGTCACTGCTGAAAAGAGATGCATGTCATAGAATCATAGAACTGTAGAGTTAGAAGGGACCACAAGGATCATCTAGTCCAACCCCTGCAATGCAGAAATATGCAGCTGTCCCGTGTGAGGATCGAACCTGCCACCTTGATGTTCTAACCAGTACCAAAAATACGGGTATATGTTTGTCCCAGGCAAATTTTGTGAACCACTGAATGGTCCTTTAAATATGTTTCTTGTATAGGTATTTCACCACTTTTTGGACATATACCAGTGAATGCTAACTATCTCATTTAAGTGAGTGTCAACGTTCACAGGTTTATCTGTGAGTTTTAAAGCTTTATTTTTAAAAATGCCTGGGATTTTCCTCATTCACATGTGAATGTCAACATTTAAGACTTTCACTGTTTCAAGCTACTGGTGCCTGCAGGTATACTATCCATACAGGCATATTGTGGGATGAATAAACTTTGATATATTTTAATACACACGCTTTCCTATTATACCATTTTATTCCATTGTTTTATTGTATATCAGACAACACCTGGATTTCTTTTTTTGTGTGAATGTTAAGCAGTATACAAAAATTTCTAAATAAATAAATATTTCCATATAGAGAAAATCTGGAATATGTACTGACTCTGAAACAGAGTGTTATAGTTTTAATACTAAGTAACAGTTTCGTAATGAGTGAAACATTTCAACTTTCTGTAAAATTTGGTTTTCAGATTTATCTGCCTATGGCCATTTAATTTTCCTTAACACAACTGGATGAGGTGCTTGCTATTGACAACTTAACTGACCATTTTAATAAAGCAGAGGTTTTTGTTTTTTTAAAAAATTGCTTAGTAAAGCACAGCAGGGAAATTTATCAAATTGTTTGCCAGTGGGAATAAGTGAAACAGTAATGAGAAACTGAAGCTTCACTATAACCAACCCATTTTCCCAACTGTGCTACAAAAGCTACATTGGGCTCAAGCGCCAACCATGATGTCATTATTCCTGCCTCAGGAACTTAGTCTAATCTCATCATAGAAGGTTGTAAATTCAGTCTGGCAGTGTCAACTCCAAGCATTTCAGCTTCTGTAAAATGGCTGGAACACTGAAGCAGAAGTACCAGACATACCTTGCTTGCAAATGTTCAGGCTTTTTGTTGTTATTGTTTGCTCAGGGTTAATCTCCACTGCCATATTCATTTATGCATAAATCTTCAAACACATTTTTTAAATGAAGAAGTCATTTGAAAAAGGTTAGAATATATCAGCTTCACAATCTATCCTGAGTGCTCACTGGAAGGACAGATTGTGAAGCTGAGGCTCCAATACTTTGGCCACCTCATGAGAAGAGAAGACTCCCTGGAAAAGACCCTGATGTTGGGAAAGATGGAGGGCACAAGGAGAAGGGGACGACAGAGGACGAGATGGTTGGACAGTGTTCTCGAAGCTACAAACATGAGTCTGACCAAACTGCGGGAGGCAGTGGAAGACAGGAGTGCCTGGCGTGCTCAGGTCCATGGGGTCACGAAGAGTCGGACATGACTAAACGACTAAACAACAACAAGAATATATCTTGCATTTCAGTCTGAAAACATATCCACTTTCCTCTCAGCGATTAGCAACACAGCTAAGAGAAGCCCAAAGTGCTCTGTTAATCACAACGACCACCTTTGCACATCACAGTAAGCCGCAAACCATCGTTTATTGGACATGAAGAGACTGCAGCCCCTTAACTCCTCCCTTCTTGTATTGGGAAGAAGCAAACCATGAAGCATGAGATAGCATTGTGTCACTCCAAATAAACAATGGTGGTAAGTCAGGATTTGTTCTTGATTTAACAATCACGGTTTATCTGGAATGAAACAAATCACAACCCCTGGTTTGGATGTAATGCTAAGCCAGGGATTGTGTTTTGGTCACATACTAGGAGTGAGGAGCAAGGCAGCCCAGACAGGCATTTTCACAGTAAACCAGGTGTGGGGAGCATTTGGATCTCCAGATGTTGCTGAACTACAATTCCCATCAGCCCCAACAAACACAATCATGGATGATGGGAATTGCAGTTCAATAATATCTGCAGTTCAATAATATCTGAAGGGCCAAAGGTCCCCCTCACCCACACCTGATGGTTAACTAGGTTTACTGTGGCAAACAAATAGAGCCCATGTGATGGTCAATGTATCTTTTAAATATAGGTTTTTCACAATGGGATTTCAAGCTGAATTAAGTTTGGTAAAGTAACAGAGAATACCCTGTAGTTCAGGTTCCCCAGTTATTAATCATATAATATTACAAAAGATAATCTTTACTTTCAAGAAGTGGCTTTCGTCTACTAAACTGTAAACCTTGCCACATTTTATAACATGAAATTTGAAAAAAATATATGTCAAAATGTATCTATATTCTAGATGAATAGCATGTACATTTATTTAAATTGGGGCTGAAATATTGCACACACTTACTCAGAAGTATCATGGAACTTAGTGGGACTTACTGCTGAGTAATATTTGTATGGCATTGTGTTGCAAATTAAATTTGATGATTGCTTGACCTAAACTCCAGTGTCTCATCTACCAAAGTATAACCAATAGCTTATCACATGGATTAGTACAGTCTGATAAGGACTGAGCATGCTCAATAGCTACATAATATTAAATGCAAATGAAAAATAAAAAGAAATGGAGGGAGGGAATAGAAAAGGACTATTATGGAGGAAGGAATACTGACTGGCTAGAACCCTGAACAGATGCAGTCCTGGGAATATTGCTGCAACTTGGTGTGTGGTATCTACCAAACCCTTTAAATACGAGATAATGATATTTAACACTACACAATACATATTATTGGTTGGAGCTCCCTCAAGTGGATGACTGTAGAATGGGAAATAAAAGAAGAATGAAGTTCATTGTGTATTCTAAATACATGTAACTCTAAAATCAATCTGTTGCTTTTGACATTACTTTCTTACACAGTAATCAAATATGCTTGGGATCATCTCCTAAGTGAAGAAAACAGCTGCTCTGCTGGCATTCAAGCAACTTCAAGAAATGCTACTGGATTTGTAACTTTTGGTGGGAACAACTTAAACCAACATACATTTGCCTGTGAGCTAGTTTAGCCCAATGGAAATTTAGTGGGATCTGTCATACAAGCCAAGCTGCATTTAGGCTGTGGTCCTATGCAATCTTATGTAGGAGTAAGTCCCACTGAAATCAGTGGGACTAACATCTGAATAAACATGACTAGAATGGGCTGCAATGCCACATTGCTTACTTCCTGAAGCAAGGAAGTAATGAGTGGAAGCTACTATTAAGTCAATATCATTAGGAAATATTGTGCTTAAGTGCGCTATCTTCTTAATCCACTTTAACTCATTGCAGTTTGGGCTATCTCATTTGTTTCAAAACAGGTTTTTTGACTGGAATCCAAGACTTCACATCTCCAAAGAATAGCCGTGGGGTAGGGTAGAGTTTGGTGATGCATGGGTGGCAAGCAGCGTTGGCAAGCAACACAAGCAGGGCCATGGCACCTAGGACATATATATATTTACATATGTAAATTACATATATGTATCTAATTTCCTAAAGATTCAGAATTCAGCTGGAGAAAAAATAGCTTCCACATTTACTGGAAGATAGTTAATGCATGAAATAAACCAACCAAACACAAATAGTTATGGGTTTTAGATAACCACTGAGCATTTAGCAACATGGGTTTGCATAAGGAATAGGCCATTAGAATGCTTGCTTGTAAGGTGGTGAATGAGTACATAAAATATCAGCTTCTCACCTTTGGGCAACTCCTTGAGCTTCAAATTTATTTCCAGGAAATTTGGTGTTTTGACTCTGTCCTCGTCTCTCCTCTTCTTTTCTTCGTCTTAGAATATATCTGTATAGGCCTTTTGTATATCCAGTATTGGTTGCTTTTTCTCTTGGCAATTTTATGTGCACTGTTTTGCATCCTTGCGGTTTCTTCGCTTCTCAGGTGACACTTCCACCAACATTCAAGCCAAGAGATCTTGTGCTTTCTCATGATAGTAAGTTAACCTTCTCAGAGATTTTTCCAGGACAGACCTTACAGATCCAAGCAACTTTTAATTTCTTGTTTCAATCCCACTTCAGATTCCCTGTACGCTGATGTTGCTGGCTTCATTTCATCCAGGAATTCAAGTGCATTACACCTTAATCATGGTGCTGTTTTTCTACTAGCGCTGTAGACAAACTTCAATGAAATTTTAGAACAAATCTCTCTCCCGCCCCCCATTTTAATGCCTGGGAATGGTTTCATATAAATGATTTCATGTGTAATGGAAATGAAACATGTATTTCTTAAATGATCACCACCAAATACAATTGCGTGTAGTTCCCCATTTCTATTGGTTAAAAAACACTTTGAAATACAGTACCGTTTTTGTTGTCATTCAGCCATTCATATTTTTGCCAGCCTGGAGTTCTTTGAGAATCTTCCTTCAAGACGTGTATTTAAGCAACTATGAATAACAGTACAAAGGATTGAAGTACAAAACAGGACATGTTCACTTCTTTACAGAAGCAGTTTACTGCCTGCTTAGCAGGGAACCAAAATATATCCACTTCATCTGAATGAGTTTACTGCTTTTCATGTAAAGCTGAAGTTGTTTTTGAGCAGCAAAGTCAAGGCTTCCCTTAGAGAGAAGCCAGTAGTTGTTCATCAATTGGGGGTTTGTTTGTTTTTTGGCTTTCTTCTTTGACAATTCTAATACTAGTTTGTAAAAAGTTATACAGTTACACTTATCAGAAGATCAGACTTCACTTCAAAATAAAATCCACACAAGTTGTTCCTTATAAAAATGGTCAAAAAGAGCAGATTTCCCGTCTTTAATGTCCGAATACAGTACACAGCCTAGTTTCTTGAAAGGGCAATGTCTCTTTCCTTTCCAGCACTGGCTACCATTGTTATAGTGTTCCATATGAGGCAGATTTCCTAGATTTCTCTCTGGGCTGAAAGAAAAAAATATATATACAATAGAAGCTAAAGTTACTTATAAAGGTAGTATGAAACAAGACCTCAGTGTGTCTCAAACACATACCCCAGTCCTTTGGGTCACATTTCAGTTTACCTTCCTCTGCCTCAGATAAATTTACTGGGGGGGGGGGCAATGTGCCCAAGTGATGGGGAAGATGAAGGGAGAAGGCAGCAATTTCACAGCTGAGGAGGACCCTATAGGAACAGGATGAGGAGCCAACTGCTTTTGCCCCAGGGCTCAGCTGTGATGCCCCACTGCTGCCAACTGGGCACAGGCTGTACCACAGGGGTGGGCTAACCACTGATGAATTGGGCTTTAAAAAAATAATATTTGAACAAAGCACTCAGTGAATAGCAAGCTAGAGCATATTGGATCATACATGCACTGGTCATTTGATTTCTGAGTATGAATGCCTATTTTTGTTAAAGTTATTTAAGACACTGATGGCACAATCCCGTGCATATATACTTAGAAGAAAATCTAATGGCGTCCAGTAGGGCTTACTCCCAGGTTCATAGGGCTATGGGAGGAATTCAGCACAGCACTATTATAATTTTTCCATCTGTAAGCATTTCTGATGAAACCATTCCCCCTTTCCTTTCCCAGATACTATTTTTGGGTTCTACTTATATCCCAGAGTTGATTTAGGGGAGGTGCATGGACATATGGTGGTGGGTGGGCAGGGAGGGAAGGAAGCCGCATTGCAATACAATTATTTAGCTGAATCCATCCCTTTGTTAAATGGGACTTGCTCCCAGATAACTGCTTCTTGGACTAAGCATAAATGAACATACAGTCATTCTTGGAGCAGATAAGGTATTTCGTCTTCTTCACTTTTTCTAGGGAAGTCTTGAATTCAGTATTTAAGTACAATTTTTCTGCTCTGGAATTTCTAGTCTGAAAGCAAAGTCCACTAGGTCATCTAGAAAGCACAGCATCACCTTGCCTTTCAGATTCTTTGGCAAGCCAACCGGGGTGAGTCCAGGCTCTACAAGATCACATGCAGCTTTACATAGCTGGCTGTCAGGCATCACAGGATCCAGGATCCCATGGTAGGTTGCCAGGAATGGATAAGACAAGGAAGTTCTTACCAATGCTGTTTATTCAATATACACAGAGAGAGGCTTAGAAATGCAGACACCTGGGCTAATGGCATTGCTCCGAGTGAGTCGCCACCCCCTCCCACTTTCTTATTATGTGACATCACTATGGGTCCTGAAAATGTGCCTTCTGCCTCTGAGCTTTCTGCTCTCCTACTTTCAATGCCCGCTGGGTTCTGAGAGAGGGGGGGTCTGGAATGCTTTCTAAAGATATTATGTCTGTCGGCTGTCTCCCCTCTGGTGTGTCTTCTTCCTCTCCCATTATTTCCCAGCTTTCCCCCTCATCTGCCTCTGAGCTGTGATTTCCCTCAAACCCCTCTTGTAATTCTGAACTGTCTTCTTCTCTGGAAGGGTCAGGCGAGGGAGGCGGTCTCTACCATTCCTCCTCTGCCCAGTCTCTGACATTGGCTTTGTGAGACGACAGAACCAGAGTGTAGCAGGAAGCAGAGGAGAAAGAGAAAACTGGAAAAGAAAAGACTTACCTCTTGCCGTTGCACGGGCGTACTATGACCAAAGAATGAAAGCTAAAGAGAAAAATAAAAACAAAAATAAAAACTAAAAAAGGGGAGAAAACAAGGGAAAGGAAAGAGAGAGAAAGAAAAAGAAATTACAGTAAGCCTAGTGAGAAACGAGCAACAACTCGAGATAAGAGCAAAGCACAACAGTCTGTGGAAAAAGAGATGAAATAAGCAGCAATAGGGCATAGTTCCAATTTGATCAGCATTTCCATACATTTCATGTCCATGAACAGTGTAGAGCAGACATCCTCAACTTGGTGCCTCCCAGAAGTTTTCAACCACAGTTCTAATCATTCCTGCCTGACCACTGGCCACAAAGACTGGGGCTAATGGGACTGGATGCCAAAACATCTGGAGGGCGTCAGGTTGGGAAAGGCTGAGAGAAAGAGGCTTGAAACTGGAACCCAAGAGGTTCAGAAAATGATGGGAAAACAAGTTAAATGAATCTTTAGTTCTACTTTCACATACTTTCCCATAATGTCTCTAGATTGCTGCCTTTATCTGCTGGTGTGTAACTTTTAATGTAAAAGAGTTATATGTGAAATTATGGATTTTGTCTATTGCTTCTGCCCCTCGGTGCTATTGTAGTTATACATGTTACTATCGTTATTTCTGTTGTCTGGTTTCTGACCATAATAAAGATTGTTTGATACTGTAACGTGAAAAGGGAAATTTATGGCTGCATTTCATCTTTTCATCAAAGTATACAGATAATAATAATAATAATAATAATAATAATAATAATAATAATAAATTTATACCCCACCCATCTGGCTGGGTTTCCCTCTGCCGTCTTCCTCAATTCAATGTCAAGTTAAAATTTCATGCTCTCTGTGATGTTAATCCCTTTAGCAGCAGGGAAAGTCTAGTATCTGGATAGCACACTTATATTTTTAACGATGCAGTCCTACAAATGTCTGTTCAGAAGTAAGCCACACTGAATTTACTGGGGCCCATTCTCACACATGCATATTCCTTGCCCTTTTCATTGCTTCTTATTTTTTCTCCAAATAAAATTCACTAACTCGTGAATGTTGCATCATGACCAGAACGTGAGCCCCTTGGTGCTACTGCAAGTCGAACACAGAACTCCTTTAACTTTTGTTAATCTTCCACAGCAGGGGAAATGCCTGGCAGGCCAGAACCTTATCTCTTTTACTCCCTGTGGGCCAGATTTGACAGGTGGGATGTCCTCTTGCACAGCCATGTTCCTCTGGCACCAAACACTTTGCCAGCGGAACAAGCATACCACTAAATGGCTTCAACGTAGTGCTACATTGGATATAGCCCATTGTCTCCAGGCTGTTGCCTTCCTACCTGTTCTTTCCCTGAGGCCGCATCCACACTACATATTTAAAGGAATTCTGGGAATTTCATTATATGAATATCCTGCCTTTCCTCCAAGGAACTCAGTGTGGCATACAGAGTTCTTCCCACCACAACTAGCACCACCCCATTGTAGCTTGACAACAGTCCTAATCAACCTCTGTTGATTAGGCTGAGAGAGATTGACTGCCCCAAGGTCACCCAGAGATCTCCATGGTTGAGTGGGGATTTAAACCATTGTATCCCAAGTCCTAGTCCAATACCATAACTACTACACCATGCTGGCTGTAACGTACATAAACTAAAATGAAACGAATTATATAAAAACATATTTATGCTTGAAGAATCATGATTTGACTTCCAGAAGCCAAAATGCCAATTGAGTAAGAAACCACCCCTTTTCTACAACCCCGTATGAATGTTCTTAATAACACGTGTGACTGAGCAGGTAATGATCAAGGCAATTCCTCCGTCCAACCAGATCATTTGGAAAATGACTAGCATTAAATGAGGCTGTTGCAAATAGTTATATACAAATCCTACTGCAATAGGCATACCTCATCATTCACATATTTCAGGGTTGTCATTACTATACATACCTTTTCTTCTAATTCCTTTATTTGTCTTTTTTGAGCTTCAATTCTTTCTTCTAGCTCTTTAATTCTCTGTGAAAAGTAAAATTCTGCATGAATACTACCATTCTGGGGAGTAACATTTTAACCTGAACAATTTTTCAAACACTTCAGGAAGGGGCTTAGCTAGGGGCTGTGATGCAGACATCTCTGATTCCTTGGATATGTACAAAATTCTGATAAACTTCACAATACCTCCAGAGCCTTGGTTCACATGAATGAACTTACAGGTCTGTGGCTGCAGACAGTCTTTCAAGTAACTTGGTCCTGAGTTGTTGCTATATAACAGGGCGGAAGAAACTCGGGTGCAATGAAAAGCCAGTGCACCTCTTTCACAGGTTTTCCTCTGCTTGAGGGAGCTTCTTCAACATAGGAACATAAGAAAAGTCCTGCTGGATCTGGCCAATGGGCCCATCTAGTCCAGCAACCTGTGGCCACCCAGATGCATGTGGGAAACCTGCAAGCTGGACACAAGCGCAATGGCACGCTCCTCTCCTATGGTTTCCAGCAAGGGGTATTCAGAAGCATTGGAGCATTTCCTCCTGCCCAAAGCATACCTGTTGCGCATGCTGAATGTGCTCCATTCGTTCACGGAGGATCTGGGCATCCCTTTCACGGAGCTCACTCATCACCTGACGCTTCCATTGTTCCACAGCATTCTTCAGCTTCTCTCTTTCGTCTTCCGAGAGGATTTCAGACATTTTGGCTCCCGCTTCCTGCTGCAGGGCATCGTAAAGCATGGCTTCCAATTCTAAAATGTGCTAAATGAAAGGGGAAAACGATTTGTTCACTGTGAGGCTTGTTATTTGCATTATGCTCTTGCAATACTTGCTCTGTGGTGTTTTCCCTTTTATTCCTTTGCTGTGGATGCTTATTGTGCTCATGAAAGCCAGTTTTTATTCACCTCGTACAGTAACATCGCCACCCAAATATCAGACCCTGTTCATAACTAATTTAATCTGGTTTTGCCCTTTCTGTGGAAAATCTGCTAAGTTGTTTTTTTTTAAAAGAAAACCAGCTGCCAAAACCCTTTTTCTAATAACTGAAAGTCCTTTGTGCAATATTAAGCCCCCGTTTGGAAGTACCCTGAGTCTAGCAAGAGAGTGGGTCTGAAATATCCATTAGGTAAGGTGTGGTGAAGAGGGAGATTTCAATAGCTAGTGCAAAACATGGTGGACAGATTGCTTGTGAGGGCAAACCACCACCAGCATATCACACCTTGCTTGAAGGAATTGCACTGGCTGCCAGTCTGATACCAGGTCAAGTTCAAGGTGTTGGTACTCACATGGAAGGCACAAACATATGCAGATCAGGTCCAAGTTAACTGAGAAACCCCCTTACCCATTTATACCCAGTAGTTTACTGTGGTTTGTCAGAAAGCTTCACCTCAAGGTTCCAAAGAGATCAGAAGTCCACTCCACAGAAACTTGGGGCAGAGTTTTCAGTGTGGCTGCCCCTGTTCTGTGGAACAGCATCCCCAGGCACACACTGTTTGTGCTTTGTGGAAACAACATAGGCCATTTTTGTTTCAACAAGCTTTTCCAGCAGGGTGAAAAAGTCTCTGCCTTAAATGTTCACTTTCTATTGTTTTAAAATCTGTTTTTGGGAGCAGTTCTGTACTGTTTAAAAACTACTTCCACTGATTATTTATTTTATTTTATCACTGCAGATCACCTTGAGACATATTGTGAAAAAGGAGATTCATAAATGAAATGACAACAACAGCAATAAATTCAATGGAATTAGGGGGGAGCTCCGGAGACAACATAGTATCTGAGTGCAAGAAGGAGACCCGTTTTGCACATCAAAGTCTTCCTTTGCTGCTGATGTAGCTGTGCAAGAGTGGTGGGTAGTTGGGTGGTGCCATGTCTGCCTAAATTGAGTACTTCCAGTTAAACTCCTAATCATTCTATTTTTATTTAAATGGTCATGCATTGTTGAACAAGCAGCACTAGGTCCTAGAAAACAACAAACGCCTCCATGACTGCTTGTCACCAGCCACCACCCACTAGATAGTTTCACTGGAATACGCATAGATAGCAGGGAGAGCCTTTTATTTGTGAGGAATAAAAGTCCTCGGTGTATTCAGGATAAGCCTCTTCCTCTCACTTTTAAAGGTGTGGGTGGAATGTGTTTGATATGAAATGATTTCCATATTTCTGCCACATCTCCGACAATAATACAGAGAATGCTCTGTGGTGTTGCCCTGTCTAAGATAATGCAGAAATCCCTTCTGTGCATTAGGCAAAGTCTGCAGGGAGCTTTCATTTCACACATCAGTTCATAATCCCTGATATATTGTTATGTGCACATAATAATGTGGAAGCATGATAACCTGAGTCTCTGTGCTAGAAAGAGGGGAGCACAGAGGGTTAATCAGCTATGTTATGTCCCTCATATATGTCTATCAATGGACACTTCGAAGGCTTGCAGCGATAAACTTCTCGTTGCCAACATTCTTACTGATCCAGCTTTTCTACCTTTGAAAGCAGAGTGGAATACAGAAATTAAGTGTGGAAAACTTTCCCTTTCATTTTGTCTTAATGCCAGGGGGGAAACCCGCCCTGCTTTTTGTACCAAACCACCTCTCGTGATCTCTTTTGCCATGTACTCAGAATCACTGTCTCCTCTTAAAAAGAAAGGGCATTTGCAAACTGCCTTAGTTAAAACTCTGGCATTTTTCTTAAGAGAAATTGTAGCAGCAATGCAGTTCCTAAAACAAAGAGTATTTTGTTAAAGCAGTATCCCCTATTCCCTAGCACTGACTGAGTTGATCATAATCTTTGAAGACTCATGACACAATCAGAGAGTAACTGGGACTTATTTTGGATGAAATACTCCATTAAGTCATGAAACCAAGTCTGTAACATCTGTTCTTCAGCTCTCAATTTTAACTAAAAGGCTTCTATCAGCCAATGGAACATGGAATGGTCACTCTCATTCAGGTTGTTTGAATCTTCCAAGAATTCAACTTACCTTATGTGCTTGGTCTAAGGACTGCTTCCTGTAATCAAGTTCATCATCCAAATATCCCTTTTGTTTACTAAATAGTTCCTAAAGATGGAAAGAGATTTCGGTTATACTGGCTATTTTTCTATGTGCTGTGTGGGATTCATTTTTATTTTTTTGTATCAGTTCTTGTATTACCTTTTCATTTTCTAGATCTATCATCTTCTGCTGTAGAGCTGATTCTGTTACTTCTATCTGCTGCAGCCACTACATAGACATGATGAGAAAAAAATCCAAGTCAGATATGCAGATTTGACAAATGAGTAGTTGTCAGAAGTTTTCTTTTATTATTGCTCTCATATTACTGATCAATTAGACACAAAACAAAGATGTTCCAGTATATTACTACCTTATAAACCACAAACAAAAAACAACAAAATGATCAACTAGTTCCTTGAGTATGGTAATGATTACGAAGAATGCAATGAGGATATTCTGAGTATTGCATTTGCTGTTGAACAGAAGTGTGGAACCTCAGATTGTCTGGGTGAGAATGTGGCCATTGTTCTGAAAAAAGATCCCTACCCCTTGTCTTGACCATGCTTAAGACTGCTGCCCATAGGGTATTATGAACAGCAAAATGAAGTACTGAGTTATGACAGCTATGTAGTCAAAATGGGGCTACCAAGGACAAAAGAGAGCTATCAGCATGCTTTGGAGAAATCAACTCACAAGAACTGAGCATGCTCATAGACAAAGAATGCTGAATATCTGTATAAGGTAGGGGAACAGAAATTGGAGGGGTGTGTGTGAATGCAATGGAGTGCCCTGAAAGCTGGCGCAATGAACAGGAGTACTCCACACTGTGCCCGTTCGTTACAGGTCCCACTTGTATAAATTCAACTGTCATAGACATTTCTAAGGAATAGCATTCAAATGGAAATGACCCTTTACAACGTTAACCAATTCATAAGGTATTCTTTAGCTTAAAAGTTAAAGGTAAAGGGACCCCTGACCATTAGGTCCAGTCTCGGACGACTCTGGGGTTGCAGCACTCATCTCACTTTATTGGCCAAGGGAGCCAGCGTACAGCTTCCGGGTCATGTGGCCAGCATGACTAAGCCACTTCTGGCGAACCAGAGCAGCGCACGGAAACGCCGTTTACCTCCCTGCCAGAGCGGTACCTATTTATCTACTTGCACTTTGACGTGCTTTCAAACTGCTAGATTGGCAGGAGCAGGGACCGAGTGATGGGAGCTCACCCCATCGTGGGGATTCAAACCGCCAACCTTCTGATCGGCAAGCCCTAGGCTCTGTGGTTTAACCCACAGCGCCACCTGCGTCCCTTATTCTTTAGCTTACTGTTGCCTTAATCATGCAGGTGCCAATTGCAATGGCCACCCTAGGGGCATCATCTCAGCACCATCTGCGTCTGACTGTGAACCAGAAGGTTGGTAATTTGGGCCCACCCAGGGACAGCTGTGGGCAAGATTTCTGGATTGCCAGGGGTTGGACCCTCAAGATCCCTTCCAACTCTACATGTCTATGATTCTCTGTAGCTCTTCTTCGAGAACAAGAGTGTCCCAATATATGTGCTACACATTGTAGTGCTAGTATAAAAATGCTTCACCTTGAGGGAAGAAATTGCCTTCTGATGCACTATTCTACATGTTCTGGTGGTGCCATGGGGAAGAGAAATGCATGGGGGCCATTTCAATCAGCATCTACTAAGTAATGTGTAGTCCAGGGGTGCTTCCTTAATTTTCAAATGAATTGTTGACATACTGCATATTGGGCATTGGTACCAGGGCTGTTGTTGTTTGTTTTTGTTTTTTTACTTATTTGATTTTCCCCAGAAAGGGTAAATCTGAATTAAATTGGGGGGGGGCACGAACAAAGCTAGCATTTTTAGGCCAATAACATTGTGGGTGCAGCAAAAAACCTGCATGTGTGAAAAGTACCATTTTCACAATAAACACCTGTATGGAAGCAATCCTCATCTTAGAAACAGCTTTGAATGCTGGGTGGATGAGGAGTGGAAAAATACCAGTCCTACCACTATACTTCCACTGATCATGACTGTGCTATACCAGAGAAAACACTCACTGAATATCTCTCAGAATGGGGGGGGGGGACCATGCTCATTACCTTTTCGGCCAGTGTCAAAACAGTCCGCGCTTGTATAACAACTACTTGCTCGTCATTCGTTAGGTTCTGCAGCAAGAACAAAACAGAATTGTCATCAGAGCACAGGCCTTTTCATCTTTTTGCCATAGCCAAATTATGTCAGGAGAGCAGAGCAGCTCTCGGCATAGTGGCATCACATCGCACGCTGTGTTTTCCTAGATCAGGAAGGAGGAACCTATTGTCAGACTCAATTCCTACCAGCCTCAGCCAGGAAGGACAAGGATCAGGGACGAGATGGGAGTTGTGTCCCATGACACCTGGAGGGCCACAGGTCCCCCCTCTCTAACCTAGATATTATGGAGCAAAAGGAAAAAGACTTATTGAGATACAGCAGCTCCATGCCTCACATGACCTAGCCCTGCTTCCCAAAGAGCACCTCTTTTTTGCACACAGGGAGGTTCTACATATAGCCAAAGTCTTCTACACAGCTCCTTTAGAGAAATCGTAAGCATACAGAAGAAAACTGCAACTCAGATCTACAAGCATGATACAGAAGAAGCCAGCAGCAGTGGGTGGTGTTGTGCCACTGCTCCCACTTTCAGGGATGGCACGAGGGCAGGGCAGAGTAGCAGAAGAGTTGGCGGCATGCAGTTGGGCTGGTGGAGCCAGTCCAGCATTTGCACTGGTGTGCCCACACAGCCCCAAGCTTCCACTGCCTTGCCCCCGCCCCCAGTAAGTAGCAGCAATGCTGCTGTAGGTGGAGTGGCCCTTCCCCATGGCGCCAGCATCTCCTGAAATAGACAGCAAAATGACAAAGATGCAAATGCCAGCACACTTAAATCCCACTGATTTCAATGGGAGCGATGAAATCAGCCAGGCTCCATCTTTGTGCGGATCATCAAATAAACCAACAAGCAGTCAAGCAGAATTCACTTGTAACTTACACGGGGTCAGTAGTAAACTAAAGAGTTTGACCCAGGAAATAAGAATTTATGTAGCAAAATTTTGTACCATTTTTTCAAGAAATGATTTTAATTTAGTTCACCTTAGGCTCTATCTTGAATCTATTCTATTTGACAGAGCGAAATTCTCAACATTATTAAAATACTTGGCAAAAGAAGCAAAAAACAAAGACCGGGAAAGCATTAGGGGGAAATAGAAAGAGAGTGCCCACTCATGAATTGATTTTGCTTTTTTAAAGAAAAGTAAGCGTAAAATTAAATAGCCAACATTAAGGTGGTGTGGAAAAAACCATAAAGGACCTTATTGGCATATAATAGCAAAGGGCATGCAAATATTGGCCTGTATTGACTTGTCCGAAACAAAATGTAAGAAAAGCATATTTTTTAAAAATGGATGCTAATTAAAAGATGCTTGAGGTTATTTAATGCTATCTGGACGAAAGGACAAAACATACTAGTAGGAACATGCACAATTTATTAAATGAACATACACTTACGGCGTTATCCCCTAAAATGTCCAATTTTTTCATCAACTCTGCTACTAGTATGTCCTAACAAGAGAGAGGTACACAAGGCACAGAATATCAGAAAAATGCACAATGTTTTGTTGAGATGAAGCAGTAACACAGAAAAAAGAAAATAAGAATGACTTACTGTTACTCCTTCTGCCTCACAGTAGACCTGGAGGGGGCTTTTCCCTTCAGTAAAAGGAATGTGATGGAAATTGATAGCTGGAGATCTTCTCTCTCGCTCCTGTAATCAAACCAAAACTGTGTTGCTTTCTCGTCAGCTTAATTAAGAATGAGCTTTCACGAACTCTACAAAGCTACAATTCTCAGCACCCTTAGAAAACTGTGGTTCCTATAATTATTTGGGGTGGGTGGGAAATGCTACGTTAATGTATATTGTGCACACAGCCTGGGTTTTGATTAAAAGGATCGTTGCAGTAGCATCATGTCACAACCAGGGGGTGTTCAGCCTGCATGTTGAGCAATATCATTCATGGTGCTGCATTACAGCAAGTCACTACTATTACACCTGCAGATGTAGCAAAGGGTGGTGCAGGACCGACCAAGGGAGAGCATGATGGAAGTGATGCTTGGCATGCATTAGTTCCTTGTACATTATCTCCAAAGCTCTTCTGACACTGCGATGCTATCTGACTCAGCACAAAGGCAGATGTTCTGTAATATTTGCCACCAAGTTGTTAAAAGTGTGATTGCTGCTGACCGGCAGCATAGATCTGTCACTCTTGCTTCATGAAAGAACTCACTGTAGTTACACCGGTGTTGGTTGCCAAATGCTCTGTTTACAGCTATGCATACCCACCTCTCATTACGACAAAGCAAACTGGAAAGCCTCTGTGGCCCATACTCACTTCCAGTTCTAATATCCTAAATTCCAAGAGTTCGTTTTGATCTTTAGCATCCTGAACATCATGCTTTAACCGAGCCTCTTCTACCTCCATCTGTTTTATCTGGAAAAGCAAAGGGATTACACTTTATGATATTACATACATAACAACAGATCTATTACGTACTTCATGAGAAAATACCATCTTTTCTTGTTGTAATGAAAACTAATGCACACCTAGTCCATTAAACTCCCTTTTAGTTCACATATGATGCGAATGTTCTTTATTATTAATCTTTGATTACACTTTTGCATGTAAGTATTGGATTTTTATTCTCTGAATAGAAGTGTCCAAAAATGTACCTTTTCTACAAGCTCTTGATTTCTTCGGTATAATGCTTGCTTTTCTTCAATCCACTTCATATCCTTGGGGGGACAAACACATTAATATTACTGAAAAAACACTGGCAACATTCAATTCCTAACACTGGCTTGGTTCACCCAATGGTTACCAAGATAGGAGAGGAGGAGCTCACAGCTGCTTTGCTTTGTCCCTGGGCCTCTTAGCTCAGCATGGTGCAACAACTGAGCCAAAGTTTAGTTTACCATGGCATCTTAACACAACTAAATTCTTTCCTCCTTAACCAGGAACTGAAGCCAAAAACAAATCTTGGAGCTGAGAACCCTGGCTTAGCTGCTGCGCTAAGCTGAAAGGGCTGAAGAGGAGCAAAGTGGCTTCAGTGCTCTCCCCAGGAGCCAGCACATTCATGTCTACATGCTTACATGTGAACACAGCCACGGGCAGAAATCAATAGGAGGCATATGATTTCCCAGGAGAGAAGTGTGAGCAGGACATTGGCTTCCTGACTGTGTTGAGTCAAGACACATTTTAAATAGCATGTAGGCTGCCTCTCTTGAGAAGTGCAGAAGTGAAACCAACTATTTCTGGAGTGCTTTATCATCCTTGTTTTTGGAGCCCTCCCTTAGATTAATTATGTGCTCAACACATAGGGAGAGGATCAGAAGTGCCAAAAAGCCAGAATGAAGGATAGGGAAAGCCCCTGCAATGTATACTACCACAGTAAAGTAATAAACCTGCCAAAACCAGAGAATTGTGGACAGTCTGGTAGATTGGGACCTCAAACCTAGGTGCAAGAGATTAAATATTGAGCTGCCCTCAAAATATATAACCCAATCGAAGCCAGACTTGTAGAAGTAAATCTTGGAGTTAAGCTTATTCCAGTAAATCAGCCCAAGAAAGGACCTAGAAGGTGCCTGGACTGTGCCTTGGAGGCCTTGAGAAAATCTGTCAGGACTGATTACAAGAACAATTTTCTCAAACTCTTAAAAGGAAAACGTTGAATGAAGAAGGCTGCAGGCCAAGGAATACATGAGGGTGGATGTATTTGCACATAGCTAAACATGTACTGAATACCAGACTGCTATGATGCATTTGATACGATGCATTTATTACCTGTCCTTGCTCCGCAAGTGCCTTTTCTAGGTCATCTATCTGAGCCTGGGATCTGTGGATTTCTGCTTGAAGCTGCTCACGAGTCTGTAGGATGGGATTGAAGAAACGTCAAACTTTCTCTGATAGCTATCATGCCAAGGACAATGCAGTTCTACCCATCTGAATAGCCCAGGATGACACAATAACACCCAAATGCTGATCCATGAACTCGGACAATTTGAACTGCAATTTGCAGGTAGCTGGTTCACACATTATGAAAGCCAGTAATCTCCATCTTGGAACTGAGACTGCAAGCTGACCTCAGGGCTGCAATAGCCTAATTTGGGTACTTTAGGGGTGTATTTCTTTCTAATTTCCCTTGTCTCAGTATCTCATGCTGTGTGTACCATCTTGCCTGAAAAAGTTCTGGTGAACTGGAAAACTTGCCACATTTTTTCAGCTTTTTGGTTTGTCCTAAAGGTCTTGCCCAACAGTGGACTTTAAATAAAAACATACTTTTGAGGTGGGGACACTGATTTAAGAAGTGGTCTTGTGTTGAGCAAGAAGTATTGGCTATCCATGGTCAATTTCCCCCCAGACTAAATCATATTACAACTTTCAAGCTGATTTTCAAACAGTGTATTTCAATCACCTGTCTATGTTGTGTTCTATGCCTCCTGGGATGCAATTCGTTCTCAATAAAAAGAAGTCTGGTCTAGGGTAGGAGGGAGCAACCCCCCCCCAATTTTATAGTAATAGGTGAGAATGTATATTGCTGTAGACATATGTATAAGACAGAGATACAAAACCCTTTGATTTTCCAGGTGCTGTTGGACTCCAACTCCCATCAGTGTCAGCCAATGGTCTGGGATGATGGCAGCTGGAGTCTACCAACATCTGGAGTTTCCCATCTGTGGTATAAGGTATTGTTACTTGCAAGGTGCACTCAAAGAAGGCAAAACACAATTTAAATATTCAGACTCTTGTAAGGAAATGCATCTCTTTTACAAGTATAAACCTGTGAATACGTAATCTTAGTAAATGCTTGTGAGCATTTTATATTCAGGAAATTGCTAACAGATTTCCATAGTAATGGCATTCAACATCAATGTTTTTTTATATATCATTTTTTTTAAGCTGACGAGAAGCATGAAAATAAAAATGTGCTAGATGTGGTTTCTCAGCAATCTATTCCTTCAGCACAAGAGTGGACAATGTGACTGATTTGAGAGACCATAAAGTTGAGTTTTGTATTTGAGATGGTTTTATAGGCACATTATGAATTCACAGCAGATGGGAGTCACATTAAACAACTTTCTGCCCAGGAAAACCTCCCCCAAAATAATTTATCATTGATAACTAAAAGAAGGGAGTGGGGTAAAGTGGAAGAATGAAAATGAGGAGCACACTGAAACTCATTTTAAGCTGTTTCTCAACTTTCTGCACTTTAGCTTTCTACCTAGACATCATTTCACCTTGTCACTATATGGCTTCGACCTTTAGTTTGGATGGTTGTCCCCCTTAATATGGGTACTTCTCCCTTGTAGTTCCCACATGTTCCTACTATGCTAGTTAAGACCACAAACCTGAAAACAGGGTCTGCCTTAAGTATTTTAAGGTGCAAATTTATCTCAAGTTAATCAGGACTCACTCTCATTGAAAGAAATGCAACTTAACAGCACAATGAATTAGGCAAGTCCCACTGCATTTGGTGTTCTACATCATGAGGGGAACCTACCCAACTGCAGCAGGGACCACACTGTAGATTGTCACCATCCTGTTCATGGAGGGTGCAAGAGAGTGGACCTATTGCACTCAGCCCTGCTCTCCATTCTCACATATAGGCTCAACTCAGAAAAGGAACACCTGTATAAGGTTTAAGTCCCACTGAAAGTAGTGAATCATTGCATTCAGTGGGGCTTATTTCTACGCAGATATGCATAGGGGCAACACAAGCACATTCATCCCTTCTCTCTCTGCTCACATGTTGATTTAATCCAGAAAAAGAGCATCTGAACATGACTATAGTCATGGCTGGTCTTGATGGATTGTAATTCTAGATCAGGGTGGTTGGACTGCAACTCCCATCATCCCTGAGCACTGGCTATACTGACTGGGACTCGTGGGAGTTGGGGTCCACTACAGGTTCCTCTGCCCTGTTCTGGACAGTTTATGGATACCTAGTGAATAATAATAACCTACCACAAATAATACTTTATGAAGCTAAGGCTCCTGTCTGTTGCTACATTAGTGATATGGTTGCTGCTGTAGGGTATTTCCTCCCTGTGCTGTTCCAGTAATAGTCTGAAGTCTTGTAGGGCAAGTTGGCAACTGAATTCCTTCCCATAACAGCATCGCCTTCTCATAAATTATCATTATTATTCTTCAGAAATTGATGAAATGCTGATATGCAGAGAGGAACAGCACCATGGACACCTCCCATATAACTCTGGACATTACTTGAGTGAAAGGAACTGCTCTGCAGTGGTCTCCACAGTGATAAGATAACATTAAAATCTGCATGTCATCTATACTTTTTTCAGAGTCTTTGCTCTTAACCTAAAGCAGGGATGGGAAACCTGTGGGGCTGATGGCAGTTCAGGTTCAACAAGTGTCTGGAGGGATGCATTTCTCCACCTCTGAACTATAGGATATCCATTATTTCTCACCCAGAAAGGATCGAGTACCGCTGATATAAGGGTTAGACTAGCAGGAAATATTATATAGTTACAAGCCTTTATTTTCATGTAATATAAGCCATTTAGACCTTAACTTCTCGTTCTGCATCCAACGTTCCTCCAACCTGCTCTTGCAGCAGAGCATATGCCCTCTGTAAGGCCTGGTATTCCATCGTCAGCTGCCGGAATCTCAGTTCTGTTTCTTCTTTGGCCATGCCCTAAAGCGCAACAACAATAATAAAAAAAAGGAAATGCCAGATTGAACTATGAATATAATTCTCCTGAGAAAGAAAACCAATGGAATTCATAAACAGCCTTTACGGACAGTAAACTCTCCTCTAGGATAGAACATTTTGACAAGATTTACACAGAACTATTCTACGTTTCTTATGGGCTTAACCATTTGAGTTTGTGCAATATCTATGCTACTATCAAATCCATGTGAACAAACCAAGGAAACATAACCAGAAGAAAGGGTCCTGTAGCATCTTAAAAGACTAATGAACTGATTATGGCATAACCATTTTTGAGCTAGCGTCCAGTACATCTGATGCAAATCAACCCTTTCACCAAATATAAGGGAATAAAAGATTCCGTTCTCGTTCCAGATTTTCCCCCAGGATAAAGAGGACCTCTATTAGTAGTAATAAGCTACAGTTTTGAGAAACATATTGTTAGTGATTAACTTAGGTCCATCAACATCACTTGGTCTATTCTCTGAGTATAATATAGTTGGATACAAGCTAGTAGTAGTAGTACCCAAACCACTGGACAATGTGTGACAATTACCTCTTCCAAGTCATCATCCGGTGTGCAGGGTGTTTGATCTGTTCGGTCAGTTTGATATGAGATAGAAGAGCCATCAGACTCAAGGGAAGCTTCTTCATCATACCCGAAAAATGTCTCCACCACTGGCTTCTGACCAAATGACAATGTGTAAGTGCAGGCCACTGAACAATACAAACATATCTTTCCATATTAAAGCAAGCAGATCTTACAATACAAGATAACTAGACTTCCTTCCTATATGAATTCTGACGTGAAGACTTACTGTTAGAATAATATGAGCAAATATCATCTCTTTTTCATTTTCTTGATATATAGTAATTTATGAGAAGGTCCTCCAGGAGAATGGTGCATCACAGTAAACACTTATTACTCATCAAGTAGCATCTATGGGCTGTATCCAATTAGGCATCTCGTTAGCGCAAGGATGTCCTCCTGCATGACGGGAAGTCCTCTCCCTCTCCTCTCCTCTCCCTGCATCCCTCCACCTGCTCTGGAGAGTTGGAGAAACCCCCATAACAGATTTAGGAGGCCCCGGGGGACAAGCAGGAAGAGAAGAGGGAGAGGAAGTATTGTAGTGCAGCTGAAAGTCCTTGCACTAACAGGAAAATTTCACTGGATACAACCCCATGGTTAATTCCATTTCTTGATCATCAACAAAGGCTGTAAAAACCTTACATAAATTAAATACACCACCATAACTCATTGGAATAACCTTCATCTTTGATCTGTATCAGCTATGGACATTCTAACTGCAGAGAGGGTACAGGTCAGTCCTTTGTCCTGTTGACAAAGTAAGTGGCTGTGAGGGAAATGAGCCTATTTGAAAAAGGCAGAGGCAAGGAAGCAGAGGAATGGCAAGAAAGGGAGCCCAATAGGCAGATCAGCTAAAAGAAGAGGTCTGAATAGGCAGTGAGCTAAAAGGGATTATAATAGCCAATGGTCACAGTTGGCTTACTCCATAAAGGCTCTTTAAATATCATCATATATGTATTGAAATAATACACGGTTTCCCACTTAGTCTTTTACCTTGGGAAATTTTGCGAATTTCTTCTTTTGTTTCCTATACCTTAGAAGCTTATCCCGCTCCTGCAAGCAGAAGCAAAATGCATGTGTTAGAGATCGACAAACTGGGATTGAATACAATTAATCTAAGAAATTGTCAGTCTCTTATACCGTTATATTTATGGAAAGTGTGAAATTGGAATAGAATAGGGCATTTAAATTGCACAGGTAATCTGTGAGGCAAATCAGAATACAAATCAAAGGACAGTGATAATAATAAAAATATGATTTGCGAACTTTAAGAAGCACAGCTTCACTTTCAAGCACCTGATCTGAGGACAAAATTCTTTGGCTGGTATCTGTGATGAAATAACCTTGCACTAAAACTAGTCCCTGAATATATATATATATATATATTCTCAAGTGGTGATCATTTTAGGTGCATCCAATTGATGCTTGATCTCCAGAATGGGGGAGGAATGGGGGCAGGGAGAAAAGAGGGCAGGGAAGGGCAGGTGGAATGGGGCAGAACGGGGTGGGGTGTGCTTATATGCACCCAGTGGATATGCCTGGGGGCCAGGAACAAAACCCTCGTGCGAAATGGTCACTGCCTGTGTGTACACACACACACACACACACACACACACACACACACACACAGACACTAACCAGAATCTCTTTTATATTAACGTATGAAGCCATTAAACATAACAACCTCACTTTACAATTCAATGGAGAGTTCACATAAGCACACATGAAAAGCAAAATGAAACCCATATGCTACTTACTATTACGCTCTTCACGTAGCCAGCAGTTTCTAGTGTCTAGTTTAAAAGAATTAGGAAAACTTGTTATATGAAAGGACACTTGCCTCATTTTCTTTAGCAAAATATCGCAATACTTTTTTTTTTAACTTGTGCAACCAGCTCTATATATTACATAATAATAAGTGAATGCTTATTATTCAAGCGTCATTATGAGGTACTGGTTAGACTAGAGGGTCAACCCCTGGGAGACCAAGGCTCAATTCCTCACCCAGCCATGAAACTCACTGGGTGACCTTGGGCCTGTCTCTGCCCAGAGGCATCTGAGAGGTCACAGGTTTCACCCCTCACCCCTTTCATATTTCTAACTGATGACTTCTTGGTTCCCCACACAAGTCCCAGGGGTTGTCCCCAGAGAGTGAAGCTAGGTCCACGCAGTGCCAGGCCACATGGCAATTACAGAAGGATTGCAGTGAAGTCTTCCTTTACCTTTGAAAGTTCATCTATGATATTTTGCTGCTCTATGATTTGCAACCTCAGAAATTCGACTTCTCTTTCATCTTGACTCTGATCAAGGTCGTTTAAAGAGCTTGGTCTCCTTATTGTTCTCACCCTTTGTCTCTAAAGAAACAGAACAAATGTCGAGCAACTGATGAGAGTGGCTTTTCAACAAACATCATCAAATCCTTCCTCATTATGCAAGACACAGTCACAATGCAAGTTTTCCAAGAAAAAAACAACCCTATTTTTAAATAGTAATATATACGACTGGATCAACAACAATTTGTTTGAGTGTTTACATAAAATGGCACAACATATTCATTTTAAAATCACAATAAAAACATAATTTGGAAACAGTAAACATAATAAAATTATTATCCAACTATAGAGAAAGTCAAAAGATATAATCACATCCTTTCCCAGCATTTATTATATTTTTCAATATAACAGTGGGTGAATATGCAAAATGATGTGAGTCTTTGACATTTTGCATATATGCATGAAGTTGTGTGCATTTTTTTCATTTTATATACCTCATTTATAAGCTGTCCATCATATTGCAATCCCAAGGTGGGTTCAATGAAATGTGTAAAACAGAAAACAATAAGTACAAGAAAATGCTAATATAATAAAATTAAATACTGTAAAACATGGGATTCCTGGGAGAATACATGATGTAAATATCTCACCATTTCTAAATTTTCTTGTGTGACAAATTTTAGCTTATTTTCCATACGACGTAAGGCATGAGACAAATCCTCATTTTTCCTACTTAGGCGTTTATTTTTGTCTAGCAGTGGTTTATACTGGCTCTCAGCTTCTCTCAGACGCTTCAACTGAAAAGTAGGGGGGAAATTATACAGGTGTCAGAAATCTGCACAATGTTGCTGGTATAAATATAAAAGAAATATGGTACACGTTGGGTGGAATGCTCCACTTATTCAAAAATTCTAATCGGAAAGATTGGAACAAATATTGGTTTTCTTACATTTACTTTCTTCTATCACAGAACCTAAGGTAGCTTGCATGGCACCAAGGTGGTCATCTATCCAGGCACCGACCACATTCACACCTGTTTGGCTTCAGTTAGGCAGTGGCCTCACATGTGAACCTGAAAAGTCTTAGGCGTAGAAGTCCAATTTGATCCTATTAGAATTCCATATATGGAAGGAAGTGGCTCAGATTCAGGTAATGGTTTGTGGTACTGTCTATTGATGGAAGCAAAGTTTAATATTGTGTGGAAAGTCAAAGTGCCAAAAGGGCACTGGCAAAATTTAAAACAAAGACGTTTTGCACAAATACCAATATGTTTAAAAATAATATAGATATTTCTTATGTCTCCTGACTTGAAGAGCAGGGAGCAGGGCTCTTTCACAGTATACTTTGAGAAAGAATGACACACGTCCTCAGCTTTTGCTCTTAAGGGAAAGCCATGTGGAATGGCAACCAATACCATCCCATTTGAAGATATGCTGGCATTGTTTTATGAATGAAACATATGATGGAGATTATATACCTGTGAGGCTGGGATACTATTAAGGAAATGGAAAAGAAGCCAAGTGGCTGTGCTTCTAGTGCTCAAACTGCCTCATCAAATATGCAAGCCCCAGTTGCGGCCCCAGATTATATTGCAGAACTGCTGCTCTAATGTCCTCTATAAATTTCATCTATATGGATTTTTCCAACATGCCATCATGCTTTATTGCAGCAGCTCGGTGAAATATAGGCTTTGCCACAGTAAATGTCATTAACTAGCCTTTAAATAGGATTGCATAGAGATGGGGTAGCACTCTGAAGAACTAAAAGCAGGAGGGGAAAATTCCAGAAGTTTAACTCTGCGGACTTCATCAGAATTATACTGAGAACTTGAGCCTACAGCAAAGTGAGGGCCATAGCTCCATGGTAGAGCACTCTTTTTGCATTCAAAAATTCCACATTCAGTCACTGGCAAGGATCAAGGAGCAGGTGATGGGATGGGTCTTGGTCTGAGTCCATGAAGAAGCACTTTCAGCAAGAGTAGACAATAATAGACTAGAATTCAGGCATTCCCAACCTCAGCCCTCCAGATGTTTTGGGACTACAACTCCCATCATCCCTAGCTAACAGGACCAGTGGTCAGGGATGATGGGAATTGTAGTCCCAAAACATATGGAGGGCCAAGTTTAGGGGTACCTGGACTAGATGGACAAACAGTCTGACCTGATGCATGGGAACTTCATATGTTCCACTTTTCACTTCCAATTACACTGAAATGTATGGCAGGGATGGGGGACTCTCCAGATCTTGTTGGACTACAACTTCCATCACCCTAGCCCAGTCATAGGATCATAGAATTGGAAGGGACCCTGAGGATCATCTAGTCCAACCCCCTGCAATGCAGGAATATGCAGATGTCCCATACAGGGATCGAACCTGCAACCTTGGCATTATCTGCACCACACTCTAACCAACTGAGCCATCCTGACAGGCTGGCTGGGAACGATGGGAGCTTGAAGCCTGACAACATCTGGTAGGCCCCAAGTTCCACACATTGTAATCTAAGTGCTTTATCTTTGACTGATGCCTAATTTTTTTTATTGAAAAGGTCAGTGCCCTAAATGCTTATAAAAGCTAAAGAAACTGAGAGGAAAGAAAAGAATGCTTCTTTGTGGCCATTTCAAGAAAGAGCGAAAATTCCTTCCTGTGGGAAAAAGAGAGAGGTTACCAATGGACCTTCAGCGACTTTGAAACTGCCTTAGAAAACGGGCTTGTTCTAGCCATCTATCAAAAGTGTTCTGAGCTTTCTTTAGGTTAGCCTCAATGTATCTTATTCATTCAAACTTCAGCTTGTGGCATACTGTAGATAAGTTCCTAATCCCACATGCAATTATGATGTTTCACGTTAGAAAAACATCTTCTTTGGAGAAAGGCAATTTTTGCTAAGATATGTGTCAGATTCTTGCCTCTTTCTATAGCTGAAGGGGACTGAATGGTTGCTTTCTGAAATGAGTTGAGTAAATTGATGAACTCATTGATGACTATAAAGTCATCAACATTTATTTTCCAAGTTATGTCCATATATTATATTCTCTATATCTGAACGTATATCCTATTTCTTAAGTTGCTTCAACCTCTTGCTATCAATGTTCTCGCAAACAATAGTCAAGTCTCTTGAGTGAAACAGAAACTTAACCGACCTAGGTGTAAAGAGGTTGGATGGTAGGAGCAGGGTTGAATCCAGCATAAAATCTGACCGGCCTCGTTTTATTAAAAAGAGTGCCACCCCTCTGTCACCCCCAAAACACCAAACCCAGACCCAGGATCTTGTAGTGCTGAGTACAAGAGGCATATAGATGAAGTAGATCTGCCCTACATAATTTTATGGAAAATAAAAGTGATTTCTTACAAGCTCATTTCGTTCCTCTGATAGTAATGCATTCCGATCTTCCAGTTTCCTGATGATTGCACTTAATTCGGCTATTTTAAGTTGGAAGCGCCGGGCGTCCCTCTCATCCAACTGCTGTTCCTAAAACAAAAAACAACTGCAAATAACTGTTCATAGAGGAAATATATATATATTAGAGCTCTTTACAGACCCCATCTTCTTCCCTTGTTGAATCCATCCATTCCTGACTAATTATATATAATCAATAGTGTAACCTATGCCTTAATACCGAAAGATGAGACCAACAGATATTGAAGAAAGGATGTATGTAAGAGAGGAAGCAAATGCAAAAGAAAAAGAAAAAGGGATGCATATGTAGATAACAGGTCACACACATCATACTGGGAATTGTGAAAGAAAACATTGGGAATTATGACAATGTTTCCTGTATTTGCCACTGTTGAATTGAGTGCCTTAAAACAGCTGAGCTGCCTAGAAGTTATTTATGGTAATGTGAGGTATATACCGTAGATGCTGAAATATAAAATGTAACAGGTACGTGCAATTCTACCATTGCATAATTCCTTTCCCATGGAGCGGTGAATCTAACTGAGCATCTAAATGGGTCACTTAAAAAATCAGAGGATTGTGTTTTAAAATCAATGCACACGTGGAAATGTTTAACCCAAATAGAGAATGAATACAGATATAAGAGTAGACATCATTGCTTTTTTAAAAAAAGAGCGAAATAATTATCTCATTATATTAACATATCCTCTTCATTTGTTCTTGATTTATTTTGATTCATTTGGAACCACGTATGTAAAGAGCTTTGATTCAAGCAAACCAGTGGTTATATTTGGCCTGAATGACACTCAACAGTGCTAGGATTCTTCATTCAACAGGTGCAGGAGAGGCTTGGAACAAAGGACAGAAAAGATTTTGTGCTCATGTATATATATATATATCTACATTTCAAATTAAGCAGCACTACAAAAGAAATCTTGATGAGGATCAACAATGAAAAGAAGTTCAACAAATGTCACAGGGGGAAAAAAATCTCTGTTATTAGCAAATTAATACAAAAGCTGGAGAAGTGGCAAAGTTACATAAGAAGCCAGCATAAAAATTTAATGGGTTTAGATATAATGGAAGAAGAGACTGCAAACAGCATGAAAGAAACAGCAAAAAGCATGTTTGTTGGTATCTCAGATCATCGGCTAAAGTTAAGAGCTTTGTGATGATGAGCAACCTCAGTGATGTTAGTAATGAAGCCTAAGAATGATCTCTACAAACGGGCAGGTTACTTCTGTTTCCCCCCTGCTAGTCAATTCAGTTTTGTGGTTGTTTGCGACAATGCTGGTAAGTAGCCCTCAAAATTAGCACACACCCATTAATCCGTTTAGTTATGCATTTGCATTGTAAGTCTCGGACAAAGCATTTCAAGCTGTCAAACTAAGGCAAAATGTCAAGGTCAGCTGTGTGTTGTTGTTGTTTTAATTCTTTTAACCTGCTGGCAAATTAAAACAAACAAAAAACCATGCTGTCACATGTCAAAATAAGGTTTGAAATCCTGCTGGCTCTCTCTCCCCCTAGAGCAGGAGTGGGGAACCGGTGTCCTTCCCGAGGCTGCTGAACTCACAGCACCCAGCATCCCCGACCATTGGGCATGCTGGCCGGGGCGGCTAGGAGTTGGAATCCAACAACATCTGGAGGGCTGCTGATTCCTCGCCACCACCCCAGAGGGGAAAAGAATTTGTTGCCAGAATGTGCATTCACTCATCAAGATTTTGGCATATTTGTTTGTTTCAGGCAAAACCACTAGAAAGTGCTTACAGGACTTCCTGAATGATCTGAAGTCTCTCCTGCACCACTTGCATGAGGAAGTTCCCGCTTGGGGCTGCTCAGATGCCGGTCAGCTTCTCTGAGCTGGGAAAGTTGTTCATCTAAAGCCTCCTTTTGGAGCTGAAGTCTCTGAGCATGCCCGGCTTGAACCCCTAACTCTCTTTCCAGCACGTAGACTGCTCTGTCTTTAAATTTGATCTCCTCCATCTACAAGGAGAACAAAATACAATCACATACGGGCATGCACGGTACAATTCTGGCGTTGCCATAGTAACTGGCAGCATCCCTGCTAGCGGAGCATTTTAGATGATACCCAGAGGTAAAAAAACGCATAAAATTCAATCCTGCAGATTTCACGCCCTTTAACGTTGAAAAGAAGCACTGGTTTTGAAAAGGGGGGAGGACCCCGAAAAATAGAGTATTTTGGCAGCAAAGATAATAATCATCTCACTTATTATCCCTTATAGTAAACCTCTTTGGAATTCTTTCAGCAAAAGAAAGAAAGACAATTTCAAAAGAGAGAGAGAGAGAGAACTGGTTTGACTATTTCTTCATGTCTACACATTACACTGAAATCCTCACACCAGGTTTCCTACAAACAAGTAAGTTTCAGTAGCTTTTGAATCAGATTCAGAATTCAGGATTATTATTAACTCTGCAGCACTGAAAGTGTGCCTCGTGCATGCATTAAAGTTCAGGGTCCTGGATTTTGGAGTTCAGGCATGAAATGTTTCTCATTTGATTAGTAAAGAAGTAGGCTCCACTCCTGACCCACAATGATTGTTACACTGAGAGTTTAATCACAAAATAATAATAACACAGAATACTTTTTTGAACTTAGGTTTGGGATGAATAACTCCACAGAAATGTTATGACATTTTTTGCTGTTCATGTCAGCATTTAAATGATAATCCCTCGGTGGCCAATCCTATGCATGTTTACTCAAAAGCAAGGTCAGAACCCTAATAACACACATTAAAACCAACTATAATATAAATATAAATAGTTATGAAACAGCTTTATTAATAGAAAAATAGAATAACCTAAATATTTCTCCAAAGGGTAGCAGAAATGGAAGAATTTAAATATATAAAGGGAATATTTTGGAGAAGCAAGCTACATTGCTATGGCATCTCAACAAGAAAACACCTTGTTTAAAAGCTGAACATGCAGCTCAGAAATGTGGAGTCAAATTTTTTTTGGGGGGATAGGTTAATTTCAATGTATTTGGGTTTGGGGATGTTTCCTTATTTAAATTTGAAGTCTTAGTGAGAATGGCCACATGGAGAGTTTTTAAAAATGTAACTGAATTATATTTGAGGGGAAATCCTCAAATTTCCAAGTATATACAAAGACATAGCAAACATAATCTCATTGAAATGTATTGTACTGATACAAGTGGTAAAAATATTCAAGCATTATTTGTTTATCTAGATTGCTGCATTCTGTAATTATAGTAGGAACCAAAGTACCCTGGGAGTAGGCTCATGGAAGGAAACAGTTCTGGGGAACACATTGCTAGAGGCTGCTCTCAGCTGCTTTTTGTAACTTGTATTCATTTACTGTGCCATAACCTGCCTTGTGCTAATTTGAGATCAAATGCCGCTTTGTCATTTTCCTTTAAATTACATCGGAAAAGCCTAATCACTTTCTACAGTATGTTACCAATGGGTTGTGTGCACTGTGTGGTACTATGCAGTATAATCATGCACATGCTTACCCAGAGTTAAGTGTCACTGTATTCAGAGCAGTTTACTTCCACATAAGTGTGCATAGGATTGCAGTCTGAAATATCGATGCGCATGAATTTATGCACATATGCATGCATCAGACAGAGATGAGATGTGCCCAGTTCCCTTTCAAAGGTTTGTGTTCTAGAGCTGAACCCTGAAAAATGACAACTCTATGAACAATATTTAAATAAGGTATCTTTTAAAAAGGCCAAATAGGGGCAAAGCAAGAATGGTGATTTACCAAACACGAGAAAACTAAGTCTGCTCTGGATAAGCAGGGACAGCTGGGATGAATGTACCATATCTATATATAGACCCCAAAAGAGAGGGGACCGAGAGAGAGAGAGAGAGAGAGAGAGAGAGAGAGACTCTCTCCTAAGACTAACCAGGATGAGCTGAGTGCATTATCTCCCCCTGCTCAGGATGACCAAGCAAAAAAAGCTGCTTCTGTAGTCAAGGCTAACCAAGACAGAAAAAATGCTGTTCATTTTCTAGGAGCCATGCGATGCCTGTGCTGTCTTGCTTGCTGTGCGCTGGGAGCAGAGTTTTGTTGCGATGGGACAGGCAGAGGTGAGCACTAATGGTGCGGCACAGCCTTCCCCAACGTGGCAATGTTTTGATGTTTTTGGAGTATAACTCCCATCAGTCCCAGCCAACACTGAGAGTCACAGCCCAAAACATATAAATGGCACCAGGTAGCAGAACACTGTGCAGAGAAAGTGGGGCTCAAATTTAACTTGCAGTTAAATTGTAGCAAAAATGTACTTTGCTTCCCCGCCCCCAAAAGTAGGGGAGCCTGATTCATAGTAGGGAAGCAGCATGCTGGGATGGGAGGCTTTGCTTTTTACTACCCGTCATGATTCTGGAACATTGTGATCAGGGGCTGAGGAAGGGGGGGTGCAGTGGGTGTCACCACTGGGGGTGTGTGACAAAATGGCGGGCAGCACTCACCGCGGGGCCTGCAGTACACTTGAGCCACGCGTCTCTCCTGGGAGTGACGCGGTGGCTTGGGTGCCTGCAAGCTCCACGCTGCCCCAAACATCCGCCTGCTGCCTTCCCCTCCGCTGTAGGGTGGCTGGGAGGGAGGAGGCAGGCAGACTCCTTGGAGGCCCCGTGGAATGTCCTGTCCTGGCTGGCCCCATCCCCTTGGGCAGCTGGCCCTGCTCAGCTTGCTCCGCCACTGATTGTGATATTGGAATGCCTTTAGGCTCCAGGATGTTTCCAGCCACACCCACCTTAGTGTTGGAGTGGAAAGGGCTGGAAATACTCTCTCTCTCTCTCTCTCTCTCTCTGTGTGTGTGTGTGTGTTCCTGCATATCTGGAGCGTGAGGTGTGTATGACAAAGAGAGAAGGGGAAGCGCTGTGTGGCTGCATATCTGATGCATGAGTGTTTGTGACAAAAGGTGGTGGATAGACGCCTGCGGGCTTTTCCGTTCTGTTCTTCTTTTGCCTTGCCCACTTCATCCACCATTGGAAAGCAGATCCCAGTAAGTGGCCAAGTTGAAATCTGGCCCTCTGGTTGAAATAGGCTCCCCATCTCTAACCTAAGCCTAATTGATTAACCTGTTGACAAATTGATTAACATGTTGACAAATACAGGGGCCAAGATAATGCCGTGCAGCACCCCACTCAAAACCTCCCTCCAGTTTGAAGTGGAACCATAGGTGAACACAGTCTGAGTGCAGACCTCCAAGCAGCTGACGGTATGATCACCCAGCCCGCATTTAACCAGTTTGCTAACGAAAAATATCATTGGTAAATGCTTTGCTGAAATCAAGATAAATCGTGTCCACAGCACTGATCCAGGGCCAGCCCAGGATGTTTGTCACTATAGGCAAAACAGAAAATGCCCCACTTCCTCCTCCTCTGCAGCTCACCCCCCTCCTCTGCTGCATGCCTGCTACTTGCCCACTGGGGGGGGTGGGTAAAAGGAGACCAGAGAGTAGTGGCTGGCAGTGGGTGCAGAGTGGTGGGCAAGGCCACAGTGGAGGAGGAGGAGGCAAAAAGCACAGCCACTCCCCTGGCTGTCCAAAGCCTGCCACCCTGAGGCAACTGTCTCATCTTGCCTCGTTGGCGTGCCAGCCCTGCACTAAGCTAGCAATCCAGTAATAAAAAAAATATAAGATTAGTCTGGCATTAATTCTTGGCAAAGTCATGGTGGCATCTACTGATCACTGTATTGTTAAGAAGATGCTTCTGGATTGATTGTGTTGTAATCTGTTCTACTGTCTTCCTTGATATCAAAGTGAAACTGACCAGCCTGCAGTTTTCAGGATTCTTTTACCCCTTTATTGGGTCTTGGGACAACACACCTACTACTCCTTTGTGGTCATAAACTTGTTTATCAAGCAGCAGCAAAAGCAGCACTGTAATGGACCAAGACCCAAGCGGCTACTTGGTTTCTATCAGCAACTGGTGGGCAACATATTTCACCCCACATGTTCCTGGAGGAGTTGCAGTCCCTCTGAAGAAAAGGGTTCATAGTCCAGGGATATTTCTGGATTCCATTCTGTCACTGGCATCACAAGTAGAGTCTGTGGCTAGAGGTGCATATGCCTTGCCTAGGCTGCTTCACTAGTTATGGCCTGTCCTTCAGCTCTCTACCATGGTTTCAGTTGTCCATGCTCTAGCGACCTTCCACCTGGGCTATGGCAATGCTCTCCATGAGGTGCTGCCCCCTTGAAGACAGTTTGGAAGCTACAGCTGGTGCAGATAGTGGCCACCATCTGACATTCTCCACCTTAGCAAGAACAAGGCATTCTCACTCTTCAAGAACCTGTTCTAGCTAGGGGGTAGAAATACTCTGAGGAGACAGGGCTGGGTAGGAGGGCACTCCAGGCCTTTGTTGCAAGTAAACCAAATGTTACAAAAAATTCCATAATCTCCAGCACTCTTCGCTTAAGGGGAGGGGGATCCCAAGTAGCACTTACTCCAGAACCTCTCTCCACAATTGAGGAGTGTATAACAATACTTACAGGAAGACTACCCAATAAATCCAGGAACCATAAAACACTACTGATCTTAGTGAGAAGCCTCTGATAAACCTCCAATAAACACACATACTCTTCTGGAACAGAGTTTGATAACTCTTGTGTCAAATGTTTCTGTTGGAAAATTTAATAAACACATCATGACTGATGTTACCTTTCAGCCAATAGTACACTGTATCTTGCCACAGATGGATAAAGTTTTCTACCATCCCTTTCCCATTGCTGCCTCATATCCTTTATAGTTGACCTGGAGACCAAGTAGTTCTGAGGAATATTTTCTCCCTATAGAAGAGCCTTCTTTATTATTAAGCGCCTTGAATACATCATAGAAATCCCCTGGACTATACTGCCTTTCCCCCCTTTTTTTCTTTTTGCAGAGGACAAGTGGATTTGTTTGAACATACTCAAGAGAAAACATCAAACATCTTTAGACCCATGAATTCCAGAACTAACACACAAGAATGGAAGGGAAGAAATCTTCTTT